TAGACATATGAAACTTGATTCCAGATCGGCAAATTCCTTGGCCCACAATTCCAACTTTTAAAAATGGTGTGCTTTCGGAGGCCAGTTTAAGTCCAAAGGCATTGATTTCCTTGTCAGATGGAAGGGCCGATGAGCAAGGGGTTCTTTTCTAAATTTATTTCAAGGTTAAGAACAGGTGGGCGGAAATTATTGGGGGGGAGGGGAAGAAAGGTAGAGGTTGAGAAAGCGCGATGGACAAGTCCCTGATATGCCTCACACCCATCAACCTTACTTTGCGGCGGAGGGCTCAACAGTGGCTTGGGTTTAGGTCAAAGGCATCCTTGTACCAGATACCAGAGCGAAGTCCTGGCCTCTGGATGTCTCGATAGCCTTAGCTACTACGCTTTCACGTGTTCTCTTCCACCATCCGGTTCCAGCTGAGTAAAACAAAAGACCAGAACTACTCCTGAAATCCCACCATTAGTTGATTTCGCGGTTGCCCACCTCTGTGTGCCCCTACGCGCCTGAAACCGAGACTGGAGTTATCCCTTTCTCGAAGTCACAACAAGGAGCCTCAAAAACTCCCCAAGATCTGCTCGATTTTTAAAAGTCAGTATTTCACATGTCCTGGGAAGGAGAGGAATTGACTCAACAACATTTCATAAACCTGAGCCGAAACTTTCCAGGTTTCCTTACCGACTGTTCCTTAATACAAACAATAAACAAACACACAAACAAACAAATAGGCTAACTAATTAAGAGGTGAAAGATGACCCTGTAAGGACGATTAAAAAAAAAAAGATAAAATCAGTGCTTTTCCAGTCATGAAGGATGGTAGGAAGAGCACAGAAGCCAGGTTAGGAGGAGGGCAAATGAGTTCTTTGTAACTCCACCCCAAAGAAACCAAATAAATTTAAGGCGACGCCTAGTAAAGGAGAAAAGGCACCCCAACATCTTCCCTGAACACCCAGGAAAAGCAAGCTTTATTTTTCAAGAGAACTCCTCAGAGCCACCCAGCATGTTAGCAAGCAGTCAGTTGTAATGAGGAGGGAAAGGCGGGCACATACCTTTACCTATAGGATTCCCACACACACACATACACACATTTCTCACACACCCTTTTCCACGCAAACATGGAAAGAACGAAAAACGGAGTGGATCATCCATCCATCCATCCATCCATTCACCCCAAACAGGAGGATTTATTGCGAGGCCATGTTTCTTGCCACCATCAAGGGAAGCAACCCGTGCAAAGTCTTCTCCACTCGGAAGGAACCTCCAAGTGAAATCTTCAGAGGCAGATTCAAAAAAGGGGAGATGAATCTAGCGTATCTAGCTCTGGCGTAGTAGGTCTCCAGTTCCAAAGGCTGTTGCTGACGCCTGGGCAGAATAGCCGATCCGTAGGACTTTGGAGAGGCATCCGTGTGCACAAGGCGGTAGCTGGATGCCCGGATCTATATATGTGACTGGAAAAAAGCATCTGGAAGATGCTGAGTTTCTTGCCTGCCACATATCTCGTGTAAGGATTCTTGGATACACCAAGGCTAATCCTGGAGAAAGCCTTGCCCTGTGCACTCAGCTGCCATGCACTGAGGCTAAGCATCTGGCAGGAAAGGAACCTAGTCGTTCACACGGGGCTGTTCTCTTCGCGGGCACACAACCGGGCAACACAACCAGACACCCACCAGCGAGCCTGATGGCACACTCGGGAAAGCAGGTTTACGGATCTCAAGGCCGTATTTCATGTCAACCTACACATCAGCCCGAATCTAAGGCAAACTTTCCCCAGGCCTCGCCGGGTCGGAAAATTCGCGCTTGCCTTCGATCACCTCGAAGACTTCAGAGGGTTTGTGCGTGTTGTTTCACACCCCAAAGCCTCGAACGTTCGAACAGGGGTAGAATTCGAATCAGACGTCATACCCCGAACTCAGCACCAGGTGACGCTCTAGACTCATTGTCTCGGTGTTTTGAGTGTGGGGCCTTTTTTTTTCCCCAGGATTTCGTTATGCCAACATATCACATACGTTGCACGGGCTTCCATCAATAACCTCCTGGGGTCATCAAGCCAAATTTATGACTGGCCAACACCGTCACGTGATTCTCTTTAAACATCCCATATTTGGGCAGCGCACATAGAATAAAGAAAAGAAGAATCCCCACCTATAAATTCTGCACTTTAGAGAACAAAAAACCCTGAACTTCAAAAGGGCCACAAATCAAGTCTAATCAAAGGGGTGTAAGAGAGAGAGCGAGAGCGAGGGAGAGAGGGAGAGAGAAGCTGGGTGGGGGGGAATATAATTCCTGACATGAGTTCCTACGTAGCCAATTCTTTCTATAAGCAAAATCAAAATGTTCCTGCGTATTCCATGCAAAGTTATGGGAATTATGGATCAGTGCCTGAGGTTCAGCCCTCCAGGTGCTGCTACACTGGGCTGGATCTGAGCATTACATTCCCTTCATCTGGGGCTTCCAACTCTCTGAACGGTGTGGACGTGTCTTCAACCCCCAGATCTAACCCCGACCGGCCTTCCTGTACTGTCATGGGATCTTCAGGGCACACTTTAGGCAGAGACGACCAGGCTTCTCTAAACCCAGGAATTTACAGCCAGAAGGCTGGTGGGACCAACAACCCCACGCCGTTGGAAGATAGATCTAAGACCAGTGGGGAAGTCAAGAGTGAACCGGTGCAAGCAGCCCAGCCCGGCGGCCAGCCTGTTCAGCAGCCGCCGCAGCCGCCACCACAAATCTATCCGTGGATGACCAAACTACACATGAGCCACGGTAAACTTTCGCTTCTCGATTTTGTTTCACAGGATTTGCCTTGGTTTTATAGGCCATACGGGGCAAATAACAAGGGGGAAAAAAACCTGGGGTCGTAAATTTTACGACTAAGGCATCAATTGCTCGTAAAACTGTCCACTAAAAGGCTTAGAGGCTATATACGCCCAAATTTATGACGGCATAATTGGATCATAGAAACAAAACGGGTATAAAGGCAATATTCCATGGGGGGGGGGCGAAAGGGAAGTAGGGAGGAAGAAAGATTTTAAGGGAAAGAAATAACTTGAAACCGCGCGCACTCTTTCTGGGGAAGAAAACGAGCTTATGGTAATTTAGAGTGTCCCACCCCCCACCCCAAAAAATCCTTTGCGCATCCCATAAGCCATGAATTTCCCTTCTTTCGAGTCTGGGAACTACACCACTGAATTTAATACTCATACTTAGTTACACTTTCTCGGGTTTTAAACAGTGAGCACTCCCTGCGTGATTCGCTTTAGATGGAATCCAAAGCTCTGAGAAAGTGTTGAAAATCGGGACCCTCTGTTCACCAGTAAATATAGTAAATGTTCTGGGGAGAGCCAACCCACCCTCTTTTTCTCCCTCTTGTTTCTTTAGCACATTTGGTTACTCGCTTCCTTGAAATTACTGCTCTCATTAATACGACTCTTTCCCCGCTCGTCCTTATCCGGTGTCTGTTCTTTTCCAGAAGCAGATGGCAAACGTTCTAGGACCAGCTACACTCGCTATCAAACTCTGGAGCTAGAAAAAGAATTCCACTTTAACCGATATCTCACCCGCCGGAGGCGCATAGAGATCGCCAACAACCTGTGTTTGAACGAGAGGCAAATCAAAATCTGGTTTCAAAATCGGAGGATGAAATGGAAGAAAGATTCCAAACTGAAAAGCAAGGAGTCTGTCTAGGTAGAAGGTCGGGTGGGGCGGGGCGGGAAAGTCAGCTCGTCTGGACGAGAGCCGTTGTTGTACCTTGAGAAAACTTTTCTTTGGGAGGTGGGGAGAGGGAAAGGGCGGAGGGAGGGTAGCAGCTTGGGATAGACTACGTACTCTTGCAAATCTGGCAGACAAAGGCGTCCTCTGATTAGTATGCAAACAGACCCGGGTCTTTAGCTTCAAACAGAATTCAGGGTTAAGCCTTCTGGAGTTGCCACCGGCCCCTTGCTCTCTAACCTGGGTCCCGCTGATCCGGGAAGGAAACGACTTGCTCCCTCTCAAAGTCCGCCCTCGAGTCAAGGGGCGACGTTTCCCCAGTGCTAACATAGCAAGGACACACTTTAGGAAATAAAAGTGAAGCTCAAGTTATGCATAAGAGGGGTGAGTGCGATCATCGCTACTTTTATTTTCATTTTTCGGAAAGTCCTATGGTCTCGGCTCTCCATGCAAGACTTGGAAATTTCAGGTCTGTTGAAATGCCTAATCCTTTGCGTCGAAGTCGGATTGCGCCTGAAGCGACCACGCGATACGAGCACTTCTTCGCGGCTCCAGTCCCACCGATGGCCAAGGGGCACCTCCTCGCGAGTAAATGCGCCTCCTAGGATCGGGCTGCGCGAGCTAGTTGTCTTGAGACAATATTGACGTCTCGCGTGGAATGAAAATTGCCACATGAAGTCGTTTCCTAGATGCACTTAACCGGAAAAAACTGGGAAATATGT